TTGGTGGAAGAAATAGCAGTAACTTAAGATAATGCAGATGGTCCCATCTCACTGGCAGAAAGTAGCAATGATTTGAAACAATTTCTGATGAAAGTGAAAAGAAGAAAGTACCAAAGCAGGGCTGCATTTGAACATCAAGAACACAAGAATCATGAAACAAAGGCACTGAAATTGTTACAGATCTTGTTTACCCTGGCTCAGTCATCAATTCACATGGTGATTGCAACCAAGAAATATCCAGGAGGCTGAGACCCAGAAGGGTGAAAATTAAGAAAGATCGTCAAGAGCAAAGATGGGTCATTAGAGGCAGGGGCTGAGATCATCCACACCCTGGTGTTCCCAGTTACTACACACCGATGAGAGAGCTGGACGGGGAAGAAAGCTGCTAAGAGAAGAAAATGGGTTCATTTCAAATACGGTCTCGGGGGACAGCTCTCCAGGTACTCGGGACCGCCAGAAAAACGACCCTGAAACACCACTGGGGGCAAAAATGACAAAACTGAAGCTGTCCTACTTTGGGCACATCGTGAGAGGCAGGGGTAATAGAAGGCAGCAGGAAAAGAGGAGGACCAAATATGAGATGGACTGATTGCCTCAAAGAAGCCACAGGCATGTGCCCGCAGGAGCCAAGCAGGGCTGGCCGGGACAGGCCACTGTGGACATCGCTCATTCATGGTGTGGCCAGGGGCCGGAGTCTACTCAAGGGCACACAACAACAACAACGATAACCTTGATACTAAACATGGACAAAAGCAGTGCAAGGGAAGAAAATTATAAGCCAATATCACTTATGAACATAGATGCTAAAATTAGAAAGCATTCACAAACTACATGAAGCAGTGTATTAAAAATAAAAGTACATACGGCAAAACAAGGTTTATCTCAGAACCCAAGGGTTAGTTCACATTAGAAAAATCTATCAAAGTGACCTGTTCCATTAATATACCAGAGAAAAAACCTATAATCATCTCAATAGTTTTAGAAAAAGCACTTAATTAAATTCAATATTCATTTCATGGTTTTAAAATATTTTTACTTTACACTCAACTGGAATAGAAGGGAACCCCTTAACCTGAAAAAGGTTTCTATAAATAATCATAAATAATGATAACAAACATTATAAACAATAACACACTAGAAACATTCTCCACCCACCAGAAAGAGGAGAACAATGCTTGTTCTCACCCTTAACATCTGATGTTCCAGTGGAGGTCCCGGTCCATCCACTGAGATGAGGAAGGGGGAAAGTACCCTGAGTGTTATTTACACATAGTATGATTATCTACACAGAAATACAAGAGAATCTGCAAATCAACTACTTAATAAGAAGGTGCAGCATGCTTGCTAAACCAAGATTATTCCAAAAACCAATAAAATGTCCAAACAGCCACAATAACTGACTAAAAACTTTTAAAAGACTCCAACTTCCAATAGCAGCAAAAACTGTAAGGTACCTAGGACTAAATGTAACAGGTATAAGAGTTTCATAAAGAAGTCATCAAGTGTTACTGAAAGACATGAAGAAATCAGAATACTACTCGTGTGTTGGACGACTCAATTTTATAACCATGTCACAGCTCCCCAGATTTAACCTATAAATTTAACTCAGCAAAATACCAAGAGGTTTCTCGATGGAAGTTGACAAGCTGATGCTGGAGTTAGTGTGGAAGAGCAGAAGTTCTAAAGCAGCCAGTGCAATTTTTAAAAGGAACAAAGGGGGGAAATGACCTTCCAGACACGAAGACTTATTATAAAGCCATAATAATTAAAACAGTGTGGTACTGGCTCCGAATTGGTTTGATCAGTGGGAAAAGACAAAGCAGGATCATACTGATGAACGTATGGAAGTTGAGTTTGCAGCCACGGGGGCACTGCACACTAATGGGGGGTGGGGGGTGGGGAGGTGAGAAGCTGTTCTGCAGACCAGGGCAGAACAATAGGTTTTCTTTCCACGTGGGGGAGACGGGGAGTAAAATTAAACTCCTACTTTCCACCCTTGGAACAAAGCAAGTCCCAGATGGATCAACTTTACAAGTAGAGCAAACAAAACTTTACAATGTTAAGGGGAAGAAAAACATAGGATGCTGTCTTCATGGCATCAGGTATGGAGAGAGTTTTGTCCCGTTTTTTAAATAAGATACACAAGTGACACTAACTATAAAGAAAGAGATCAAGGCACATGACCACGTTTCCAATTTTCTGTAGTACAAAAGGCACCGAAAGCAGTTAGAAGAGGAGTCGCAGGCTGAGAGAGCAGGTTCGTGCGCACGAACTCCTACAAACCAAGAGGAACAAAGATGAAAGTGTTTACAACCTACTGGAAAATTGGGTGACTGCGAAAAAACAAATCACAGCCTCAGAAACTGTAATAGCCAATAAAATGCTCAACTGCACTAGCAGTGAGGGAGATTCAAATAAAATGATGAAGTGCTGGGTTTTTAACAAGTCAAACTGTCAGAAGAACGGAAAGTCTGAATGTAGAAAGTGTCGAGGGTCGCGTGAGGGGACAACTGTCACATGCTGCTGATGGGTGTGTGAAGTCGAACACCATTTGGCAGTCTCTAATGAAACTGCACATGTGTGTGCAGGCTAGCAGTTCCCCATCTCGGCTCCCCAGGGAGAAATTCTCCCATATGTACATGGGATACAAGTACATATATATTCATACCAGCACTGCCCATGATGCCTAGATATTGGTATCATGGTACCAGCCACTTAAAACCTTCATCAATAGGGGAATGAACAAACACAGCACATTCATATGCGTGGATTTACAATACAGCAATTAAAGTGAGTGAACTGGATGTGTATTTATCACCATGGAGAGAAAGAATAGAAACATACCATGAAGGGAAAAAAAAAGTCACAATAGGGACAGCTTAACAACACACGTGTACATTTTTAAAAAATCAAAGCAATGCTCAGTGTTTTTAGGGGTTAATTTGTTGCAAAGCCTAGATTGTAAAGTTACATTCCAAATTCCTAATAGTGTTTGCCTTTGGAGGAAAGGGTGGGGAATGGTTTTGGAGAGGAGTATAAAGGGATTTTAATTTTATCAGAAATGTTAAATAGTCCATTTTAAAAATAGACCTGAAGCAGATTTGGCAAAATGTTAACACTGACCAATTTTATGAGATAGGTAAATGGTGCTTGTGATATATCCTGTCTGCATTTTAAAATCTCTTTCCAGTTTTTCTAAATAACAAAACTAGAAACAGCTAGTAAAGAATTCTATCTCTAACAGAATTTTAATGTGTAAAATAAGAGTTAACTGTCTAGATTTTTGTAGCAAGCAACTTTACAATAACTATCTGTTTTAAAATGGGATCTCCACAAAAAAATCACAAAGCTGACAATATTATAAAAGTACTGAAATGAATAGATTCTATAGTTATCAGTATAGATAGTTCTCAAAATCATACTGAGAAGAAAAAGTAAGTTACAAAATGATATGTACATTACCCTACCATTTATAAAGAAAATTCAAACACACAAGCATAGATGTATATTTACTTGTAAATATGTAAGTAATTAGGTAATAAAAGTATAATAACAAATGCTGCAAGAATACACACATTTTAACACTGATTACCTAGAGAAGTGAGGAGGGAGAAAGGTAAGTGCCATTCAACTCTGTCATCTTTAATATAAATAAAAACTTGAGGCAAATATAACAAATGTATCACATTTGATTATTCTAGGAAGTAAATACATAAAGGTGTGTTATTCTTGATGTGGATGTATTTTTAATTTTGAAAAGAGAAAGCAGAGAAGAACCACAAACAAAATGCACATAATTCAGTATATCAGTGAGGCTTGTGTACATCAAAAACCCTGCTAGGACCCTTTTTAGAAAAAATCCTGTTTGCTTTTCTATGTTTTCAATTGTTGAAATATCAAATGAGGGAAAAATGAAAGCAATAAAGAAATATAAATATATATATATATACCTAGAAACCCTCCACAATCACAAAACATCATATGAGCAATTCTATATCATCTGCTGCATTTTCTTATTTTTAATTTTTGCCAGAAGAAAAATAAAAGATGTTGTCTAATTAGAAACGTGACTTTCTATTAACAAAATTGTGGGAGTCCATTTTAATGTGTTTATCTCGCTACTAGTCTGTAATTTATATTCCAGCGTGGAAATTTGTTCGCATGCCTGGGACAGGTTAATGCAGTTTAAACATGCATTTTCCTTTCGTTGGCTGAGGAGTTAAATCGTTATTCAAAGGATTTTAAGTTTCAATTTCAGCCACGAGAGAGGAGGATTCTCTGCTTTTTCAAGGTTAAAAATGTTTCTGATTCGAAACGCTATTAATTAATGGACACGTAGTGGATCTGCTTAGGGAATCGGCACCGACCCGGGATTAACAGCGGAACTGCTAAATGAGAAAACTTTTTTTGATGCAGACTGAGGGAGATTTTTAATTCGGTCTGACAGCGGTGGACACGAGTGCAATGCAATTCCAGCCCGCTTAACTAGCGATCGTCATTAGGAAGCGAAAGACAGGTCAGGTATTAACATTTTTTTTACCCTTAAAAAAATAAAAAAAACTTTCTCGGACTCCGCCGGACACCCAGCTGGCGGAGGACCAGCGGGCGCGGGGGGGCGAAGCCGGCAGGCTGCCCAGAAGTTACGATCGGAGAGTTTTCTCTTTATTAAAATTACCTGGCTCGCCAGCAGAGGCAAGAACGCGAAGACAAGATAATTTCTTAGGCTGTTAACAAGGACTTAGGCCGGCGGGCCGCGCGTTCCGGGGGGTGTCCTGCGGCCCGGGGCGGGTCCCGCCGCCCCCGCGGGCTCCGGTGCGTCAGGGGCGCGTCAAGCGGGGCGGGCTCCGCGCGGGCGGCGGCAGCAGCGGCGGGCGGCTGGCGGCGCGCGCCGGGCCTCTTGCTTCTCGCTCCGAGGCTGCGGGACGGACGCTCCCGAGAACTCTCTCGCTCGCGGCCGGCCGCGCTCGGACCGCGCTCGCCGGCGGCCCGGCCGCGCCAGCATGTCAGCCGCCGTGGCGTGTCTGGACTACTTCGCCGCCGAGTGCCTGGTGTCCATGTCCGCGGGCGCCGTGGTCCACCGCCGCCCGCAGGACCCCGAGGGCGCGGGCGGAGCCGCAGGCTCGGAGGTGGGTGCGGCGGCGCCGCCGGAGTCCGCTCTGCCGGGTCCGGGGCCACCGGGGCCCGCGTCGGTCCCCCTGCTCTCCCAGGTCCCCGCCCCCAGCCCTGGCGCGGGCGGCGCCGCGCCCCACCTGCTGGCTGCAAGCGTCTTGGCTGACTTGCGCGGCGGCTCCGGGGAGGGCTTCGCGGAGAACTCGGGAGAAGCTCCGCGCGCCTCGTCCGGCTCCTCCGGCCCCAGCCCGTGCTCCGCGCCCACCCTGCGCCCAGAGCCGGCCCCGGCCTCCAGCGCGGCCGAAGTCTCCTGGCCCGCGCACTCGTCCCGCGCGCTCGAGGTCCCGGGCGCGCCCGCCGCCTCCGGAGCGCCTGCGGCCCCCGGCGGGGTGTCCGGCGTGGCCCCTGGCGTGGGCCCCGCCCCCGCAACGGCTCCAGGTGCCCGTCGGAGGCCAGTCACACCTGCTGCCAAGCGCCATCGATGCCCCTTCCCGGGCTGCAACAAGGCCTATTACAAGTCGTCGCATCTGAAGTCCCACCAGCGCACCCACACGGGCGAGCGCCCTTTCTCCTGCGACTGGCTCGACTGCGACAAGAAGTTCACGCGCTCCGACGAGCTGGCACGTCACTACAGGACGCACACGGGCGAAAAGCGCTTCTCCTGCCCCCTGTGCCCCAAGCAGTTCTCCCGGAGCGACCACTTGACCAAGCACGCCCGTCGCCACCCAGCCTATCATCCCGACATGATCGAGTACCGGGGGCGTCGTCGCACGCCCCGCGTCCACGTCCACGCGCAACCCGCCAGCCTGGTGGACAGCTCCGGCTCCGTCCCCGGCCAGGCGCCCAGCCTTACCGCCAGCCCGTCTGACAGTCACTGCTGCTAGTCGTCCACCCGAGGACGATCCCCCCAGGCCGTTTTCCCTGCCTTCTCTGCCCGTCCCTCTTTCCCGGTGTCGCTAGAACAAGGCACAGACTGGTTCCTGCGCTCTGAGGGTGCGTCCAGGCAGGACTGTTGGATTCTGGGGAGGGACTGGGGACCCGAAAACAGCAGGAATTCTTTCAAAAACGAATGTCATCCTAAAAGGGGGAGGGTTGCCTCAGGACAGCCCCCAGGAACTGGTGAGAAGGGATGAACCCCGGTGCTCCCCGGAGTCCCGAAGATGATCCCTTCCCTGGACGAAGAGATGTGAAACTGGAATGCTCAGGTGCCTGAGGAGCCCCCAGTCTCAAAGGACGCTGGTGTCTTACCCACCCACCTGGGTGGACCTCGAAGAGGGTATCAGGGGAGGCAGTCTTGGAAATGACCAGGACTGGATTGGTGAGAGGCCTTTGGAAACAGAAATGATTTCTATTTCTGTAAACAGCAATGTTTACTAATTTATTTTTAGTATCTTTTAAACAGGGATCCCAGGTTGATGGGAGGTCGCAGTTCTCCACTCCCCAATAGCCCCAGCTACCTCTGCTAGGAGAGACCGTGTAAGAGTCCACGTGGATTCCGTCTGGCTGGGAGACGCGTCTTGCTGTCTGGGGGAGGGTGCGGGTCTGCTCTGCAGGTCTTGTTGGCGGGGTGGAGCCCTGCACTTGCGTGGTAGCCTTTCTTCCTATTTGGATTCCTACCCGGGGAGGGTAACTTCTTGGCTCACTCGCACGATGAGATTGATTTAAAAATTTGAAACAACCAGAAAATAAAGGGATGGTCCAGGCGAGTTTCCCCCTTCACCCAGAGGGTGAGCCCAAGTGACTTTGGGTGAGATAGGTCCAAAAACAAGATTCAGGGAAATCGGGCATGTGGTTCCAGCTGCCCACTAAAAGTAATCTCAGGTGTGGTAGATTCTGTTCATGTCTTAATGGCTAACTAGGGGATGATTTCTTTTGGGATCTGTGCAGTTTTGTTTCAGCAACAGGTGAGTTGGTGGTTTGAGGAGGGTAAGGTGAGAATGGCTTCTTCCAAAGAGTTGGCTGCCCTGGGTTTGGGGGGGGGGGAGGGGAGGAAGAGCCAGGTGAAAGCTGTTATCAGATAAAAGGACCCTTCTCCCCTGCCCTTGGAGTCCCTCCAAGTTCCACCCTCAGGACCCCTCTCCCCTAGTGCAGGACTTGAGCATCAGCAGTATTTATTTTGTTCTATGTGTATCTCCGCTGCTATGGATGAAATTGTCGGCCACTTTGCTTATGTATGTGTGAATGTGTATACGTGTGACCCTGTTATTAGAGGTGGGGCTAAAAGGCACTCCCTGCCCTGCTAAGGTTCTCCTTGGCCCCCTTGTGAGTATCTTGTAATAGTCTGTCAGTCGCGCTTGTGGAGGATGCTGTAATCTCAAAGGACTGCAACAGGCATGTAGTTGAACAAACCGCTTTCCGCTATTTTGCAGATGAAGACACTGAAGTCTAGATAAGCTCAAAGTCACGTGCTAAATTGCTGGCCAAAGCCATGACTAGATCTTAGGTACCCGGCTTTCTAAGTGACTACCCCACGCTTGATTGTCCCACCTGCTTTCTCCTAGGTCCTTAGTCAGAGGACCCCACTTCCCTTCCTGCCGTCAGAAATCCCCCCACTCCCTATTCTCTGTCACTTCTGTGTCCCTTCAAATGTTTGGTTCCCACTGAAGCCTTTGCCTATTGTGTTTAATTGGAAAGCCCTTTTCTTGGCAGGGTGAGTCCATTCCTTCCATGTCATGTGGACTTACAGTGGAAATGCGTCTTTGGCACTTTGGGAGAGATTGATTGTATCTGTTAACCTGGTAAAGTAACTTTCAATGCCAGCTCTCTTCTTTTGCTGGTTCTGGGCATTCTAGCTTCCTCTAGAGAAGGAGTGGTACGAACTTGACATTGGGACTGTCCGAAGTGCTCCTGCGCTGAGTGAGGGAAGAGTGCTGAGGGGGGACCCAACGGGTACAGCCCATGGCCCCAAACAGGTTCATTGTTTTCTGATGTGAACTGAGTAGGGCAGGTGGGTCTCTCCTTGAGTTACAGATGGGAAGAGGAGTCTGCCAATCGTGGAGGGTGGGTTTGTGGTGGGAAGAGTCCTCCCTGTGCTTTGTCTCCTCAGCTGGAACTGGATAGGAAGGGGGCTCCGGGCCCTCTTGAGGACTGTGACTTTGCCTTTCGGTAGAAGATCTACCGTTGGGTAGGCGGACCAACGAAGCTAACAGGAGAGAGACTCCCACTGACCGACCGTTCTGGATTTGGCTCCAAAAAGCTTGGCTTTTCCAATCATCCATTGATAAATAACTTTTCACTCTTAAGCTCCCAAGTAGTGTCCTTTTTTGGGGGGTGTCTGCTTTGGGGACTTTTGTCTGGGGATGGCTTCTCACAATCTAAATGCGGGACGTCTGCGGCCATACCACCCTGAACACACCCAGTCTCATCTCCATGCGGCATGTCTTCCAGGGACTCCTCCTTGGGCTTGCACTGATGGGGAGGAAAACACCCAGAACACTAGAGTGGCCACATAATGGAGGCAAGATTTGTAGGCTGGTATTTCTTACTCTTGGATATTGCTGTTACCCCTTTTAACCCAGCAGCCAGATAGTTCTAGAGGAGCAGTTATTAGTGAAGTGCCCTGGACGGGGTTTCCTAGTTTCCTTGGTGTTTCCATTGCTTCTTTTTGTTAAGCAGATGGAGCTCAGTAAGTGAGAGTAGCCGGGGATTGGTTGGGGTCAGCCTGAACCTCTGGGCCATTACCCTACCCCCACCATCCTGAGTTCTAATGTAGTAATGATCTACTAACAAAATCTAGAACACTCTTCCTGACATCTGGGTTGGAAGCTGGGAATGAATTACAGGTCATACCTAGAGGGGGGAGGGAATTGGTTCCCCTACCCCTCTGCTGGGACAGGGTGAAAAGTACAGGCCTTTTCCCCACCCATGGAGACAAGAATCTGCCATTTGTCCTTATTTCCCATTTCTTCTACAAGTAGGGGACCATATTGGAATATCACTTTTGATCTCTGTCAGTACCTCTTACTTCTCCAAAAGGAAGATTGTGTTCTCCGGTGGACACATAGGAGACTCACTATGTACACACACACACACAGACACACACGTAGCTCTCCTCTCTCTTCTGCACCCCATTGCCCGTATGTAGCTGCATCCCACTCAGATCCAGTTTTCACGTGCCCCTGCTGAGGCCCAGGCCCACCTCCACAGGCAGGTGTGAAGAGCACCTCTCTGGCTCCACTTTTGGAGCAGCCACACTCCTTTGAAGCTTTCCAGGTAAGTGTTTTCTTTGTATATTTTCCTTTGGGTGGGTAATCCCAGTACCAGGAATTGGGAGGGGAAGGAGAGGCAGTGGAGGAATGGTATTAGAAAGCCCAATTTTGTCCATAGATACGGATTTATCAACAAAATACTGTATGTTGATACTGACTTGACTGATTCCCCTACCTATTACTCAGTTGGTTGAGGACCTATTACTCAGTTGTTTGCCCCTAAAAGGGAAAGGGATATGACTAATTTTCTCTCATAAGCCCCAACACATACAAATATGCATTGACACTTAAATCTTGAGGAAATAGGCACTCTGACTAGAATTACGAGACCAAGATAAGATGTGTGGCGATGAGACATCTGGTATACCAGGACACAGGGCTTTTGTGCTTTAGTGATCTTGAGCCTTTTAGTCCTTTTATCTTTCCAAGTTATAGCCTCTAATGATAGCTAGTGTCCATAGGCAAGTCGGTATTCTTTTAGAGGTACTGGATATGGGGCTTTGCAAAAGTAGGCTACATACACTACTCTGAATGATTGATTGTGGTTCATATAAATTGAGTTGAGACAGGCTTGCTGCAGAAGAGAAGGGTGCTAGTGAATGGAACAATTTGTGCTTTATTCTCAGCCAGAATTGCAGATGAGGGCTTTTAAGGGGTAATGGCCCAAGTTTCACGTGGACTTCAAAACACACATTCGGGAGACTCTAGCCCTTATATTGTGCTGGGGGATGAGCAGGTGGCATTAGATAAGCTCACCCAATTGGTTTTCTTTTATCTTCATTTGAATTGTATTCTTTTATAGGGCCAGTGAGAGACCTAGGGGAGGGGCTAAGTTCTTTAATTCACATGGGGTATCCAGAGTCACCTATTTATGTTCCAAGGTGGTGTCACACATATTGACTATATGAGACCTGCCAGTGGAATTTCAGGGACTCATGTTGTGTGTCCAATTACAGAGGAATGGTAGATTTTAATTCTAAATAGAAAAAGAGGAATACAAATGTCTGTTATATTGGGGGTTGGGGTAGAGAGAAGTTATATACTATTATAATCCTCAAAACCAGGAAGGGTATTAAAAAGAGTATGGATTCTCCTTTCTCTAGGAATCAGGCCTATTCAGGAAATCAAGTAGCAGCCTTATTTGTTCCAAATATATATTTAAATTTTGAAGTCGAAACGGAAGCAGTGGGAAGGTAAAAAAAAAAAATGAATAAAGGAAGACAGGCTGATTAAGCTGGAGGAAGAGGATTTCTTAGAAGAAAGGTTGTGTTCTTCTTAAAAGACAGAATTGACAATACAAATGGAAAAATAAAAAAGGCCAGGAGCCAACTAACCTTAAAGTTGGGATTATAAAAGAGGGTGGTAGTGTAGTCATTACAAAGAGGACATGTTGAAACCCAAAGAGATAAACAGCAGGAGAATGGGAGCAAGCTCTCATATAGAAAACAAATGCTCATCTTCACCAGGGACCTCAGATCCAAGGAAATACTGGGAGGTACCTACTTGCATCTGCATAGAACACAGTGGGAAATCATCCCTTTCACCAATGAGATAGGTAAACTTGAAGGTTACAGAAAATGTATACATACCTCCGACATCTTGGCTTAGTCTCAGTGATATAACCATTGTAAATGGGCATACAGAAAGGGCTTGGAGAATGTACAGAGTTATGTCTCTAAGGGAAAGCATAAGATAGATGAGACATGTGAAATATATTGGGGTAATTGATCAAATTAATAGATGTTAGGAAGAAATCATGATCACCTCTATTGGTTTCAAAATAAGTCCAGATGCTCCTCTACTTATGATGAGGTTATATCCCAATAAACCCATCATGACTCGAAAATATTATAACTCAAAAATGCAATAATATACCCAACTTCCCAAACATCAAAGCTTAGCCCAGCCTAACTTCGATTTTTCTAGGAACACTTAAATTAATCTAAAGTTGGGCAAAATCATTTAACAAGGCCTATTTTATAATAAAGTGTTGAATATCATGTAATTTATGTAATTATGGCTTGCTGCCTTCATGCTGGGCAATTACGCTGAGTTTAATTTCAAGAGTAATTGTCTTCCTCTTTTTCTCACCAGAAGCAGGAGACACAGATGGTCATT